CGCCCCCTTTGAGCTGCGCCATTACAGCTCGGACCTGCTAAAAACATCTGTTTTGGTTCTGATTATCATGTTTATCGTGCTGAAATCATGCGGTTTAAACCATATAAGTTTAAACTTCATATATTTGGTTTCCGAAGCACACGGTGAGAAAGCGGCCACCACACAGCATGCGAGTACTAAACTAAGTTCTCATTCACACACAAGTTTACGTTAAAAACACACGAGTTACAAAAACAGTCGATTATGTCTGTGAAGGTAAACTGCTGGGAAATAAATCGCATGTTTATTTTAGATCTAAATAGTGTTCTGTAGTTGCATACTCTATCATAGATGAAGTGAATTAAATGCAATATTTGTCAAATATACAGACGTTTGAGAAACGTTTTCATGAGCAACAGATATATACTGATTTATACTGCTTAATACATCGCCATCTGTTCAATAATAAAGTTCAACGTAAATATATACTATTTAAATACTAATAAAGTGGGGGAATATATGGTGCCGTCTCAAATCGGACAAAATTACTAACCGGCATGCACTGCTTCAAGTCAGATTGCCATCAATCTGCGCAGTGCTGCATGAAGTCGAACGCACCTAACGTCTCTTGTCTAGCTTTGTTCCCTGTAACTGCTGTTGGTGAGTTTGTCCATGTTCATGTTCTTGTTTTGCCTAGCCAAGTAAAGCCTTGTTTATTGTTTATCTGCTCACATTTTGATATCATAAAACTGCACTTGGGTTCCTTCAACTTGCCATCAGTGGACATTCATTACAGAAAGCTAGACCAGCAATGAACCCAGCAACTTGTTTATTGAGCCTTCTACAAGGCAACTGGGCCATTGAGGACTATGTGGCAGATTTCTGTGAACTATGTTATCAAGTAGACTTAAGTGACACTGCTCTCAAGGACATTTTTCGTTTTGGCCTCACAAAAGAAATTTCTCAGTTAATGCCACATCACACTTCTCACTGGACTTTGGCTAAATATATTGACTTTGCACTCCGGTTGAGTGGTTCCTCATTTACTGTAGGAATTGCAGATGAGTAACCCTGCAATCTTGTAGTACCCACCACACCAGAGCATTTCCACATCCCGACCGTCATGTCAGGATTTATCCATGCCACGACCGCCACACAAGACCCTGTTCACGTCATGGCCGCCACGTCTGAGTCATCAGCCAAGATGGCCGCCACGCCTGAGTCATCAGCCAAGATGACTGTCACGCCAGAGTCTCGACCCATCATGGCCACCACGCCAGAGCCTCGTCACGCCACGGCCACCATACCAGAGCCCCGTCACGCCACGGCTGCCATGCAAGTTTACCCTAAGGAAATCGAATCGAAAAGCTATTCCAATTTTGGAAATCAGATTAGATGTGTAAGGTCAGGAATCGAATTACTACTTATAAAATTTAATTTTAATTTTGTTTCTCAATTCCTGTATGCGCATTTATTGTGATTTGAAAAGATTCAACTGCAAGAAGACGAAATGGAACTCGCTTCTGCACTCGCGCGCTGTTTTCTGTGCTGCGCACACACACAAAGTGCATGCACAAAAGCCGCCTCTTATATACGCGAACACTGGACTGTGCTCTCCTTCTCACATTCTTACACATTCGAATGGACAAATACACACAGATTTATATCAAAATATCCCTTAAATACAATCGGTTATGTCTTAAGTGAATGCAAAGATCTGAGAAAGAAAACAAGGGTGTATTGGATCCGTGCATTGACAGCAGCCGCTGCCGCCAGTCATTAATGTTAAT